CAATCTGCTTTTTCAATCAAGAACACCATCTCAAATCATTTCCTCTGATGCGAGATTCTTGGCTTTGTTTGGTTGGATTTTGGGAATACTACTTTTAGTATTCCCAAAAAAGTTAAACAGTAAAATACCCAAAAACTCACAATATTATTCAACTTTATTCAACATTTTTTAAGCCCCCTAAATTTGTTAATTCAATTAAATACCCCTAAATATTTTTAATGTTTTTGTTACGGCGACTCCAGCCACTCTCCGGCGGTGGTGGCCGGCTGTCCGTATTTGAGGGTGGATTGGGGGTATTTTTGTTAACTTTTAATATTTTCTTATAAGGGGTGTTTTGTAAAAAAACAAACATAGGGGGTATTTTATCCATTTGTAAATCCTACATCGTAATACCCGCCCAATTCAACTTTTTTTTTAACTTTTTTCAAAAAACTTTTCCCAAAAACACAAAATTGTGAACCAAACGGAGCCCTTAAGATTCCATCTCGTGGGAGAAAATCTTGAAGATGACAAAAATGAATTTCTGCCATCCGAGCATCAAAATATGTAGACCTAGTGTTAGCATCTTCATCATTGTCTTGAAGATTGTATTTTTCTGTGAACTAAAGTAGTTGTGCTGCAAGCCTAGATCTTGGCAACTCTTCAAATAAGAGGTCTGCTATTCTGATTATGCCTCCAGGGTCTATATCCCCTCCAAGGCTTCTTGATTCCCAAGAAGACTATTCAATACGGAGTGGTGCCAGATTCGGTCGTCTTTTTCATGCCCTCAAACGCTGCATACATAACCAGCAAAAATTAAAGATTGAAATACAGAAACTTCTATAGCAACCACATCAATATTAACAATATGGTTTTTTAAGATGAGAGCATCATACAGAGGCAACATGACCTAACATATTAACACTGAACGACTTATAATTTTCTAAGAAATTAAAAATAGTTAAGTATCATGTTGTAAAAAAAAATACCTTCGGTGTCAAGCTCTTTGCTCAATTTTTTAATCTAATGTTTAAGTTTTTTTTCCTCTCGTCTCTAAAATATATAATGGCCGTTTAAGATCTCATGCACAAGGATGCAACCAAAATGAAATAGCAAAACCTGCTGAGCCCTGTCGCATTAAATGACACTAAAAGACATTATTGCTTTTCTTGGCAATGTCACTAGCACTTCACAACAGAGTTTTCAAGTTGAAAGTTAAGCCTTGCTTTCATCTCCCTTCATCAAAATCATTACCCATAGCACCACCAATCTGCTTCTTCAATCAGGAACACCATCTGAAATCATCTCCCTTGATGCCTGAATGACAAAAATGACTTTCTGCCATCCGAGCATCAAAATATTGTAAACCTAGTGTAGCAACTTCATCATTGTCTTGAAGATGTATTTTTCCGTGAACTAAAGCAGCACTGTTGCACGCCCAGATCTTGGCAACTCTGTCAAATAAGAGGTCTGCTATTCTGATTATACCTCCTGGGTCTATATCCCCTTAAGGCTTCTTGATTCCCAAGAAGACTATTCAATACGGGGTGGTGCCAGATTTGGTCCTCTCTTTCATGCTATCAAATGCTGAAGTGGTACATTTAAAAAGAAATGATGAAGAATTTAAATTAGACTACTCACACTCCACAACATCTCCTCACGCTAGTGTGAAAACTGTCAGTAAAATGTATCTTTCTCTGTCCTTGATAGAATATGAGAAAACAAGTTTAAAAACAAAGATTCATGTACAATATGGCAATCAATAGAAAGGTAACCGCTTGATTATCACATAAATTATAGGAACAAATCGTTATAAGAGAAAACAGGTTCTTGACCTCTTCAACATTTCATTTATTTTTTGTGAACACGAAGAGAGCACAACAAGCAAGCCTAAACCCTAATTAATAAAACAGAATTAACCCTATTGACAGGTACCTTATTTGGGAAAGATGAGGCACAAAAAAATGAAATTAAAAATACTTATTTGTTACTAAATTTTGCACCAAGTAAGAAGTATTTCTTTTCAAAAAATAATGTTAAAAACCTAATTGCATTAACGGTTTTCTAAACTTTTTACCATAAAAAAACTAACTGTATCCATCATATTTTTCTCCATCTAGGGCAAGTTGAAATTTGTTTAATTGGAAAGACAAAGTATCTGGAAACTTGTGACATGATACAAATATCCAACATGAAAACTTGTTATTAGGTTTTCATTAAGAGATAGAAGAGAGACACTGACCTGTGCTTGCCAAGACCAAAGAAAATTCTCCTAAATTTTGAAACTAAATAGGCGGGAGCAGAAGGAGCCGCGAGTCTGTTTATATAAAAGTGAAGGACGCGTTTTTGATGAGATAATACTGAGTTAAAACGACATCGTTCAGGCACGTGCTTGAAAATTAAAAAAGTAGCCATTATTTTAAAAATTAAAAAAGTAGCCGTTATCAGAAAATAAAGTATGACCTCACTATTTTCAAATTACACACTTCCTGCCGTTCCTTTTGCCGTTAATCCATAAAGATGGACTGATTTGGCTACCCTCATGACCAATTTGCCCTTTAACAAAAATCAATAAAAATCAGAAAAATAAAAAAAGAAAGGTAGATAAAATAAGGGAGATACCAAGGTTTTGTTTTACCTTTTTTTTGAAAGCTTGGATCCTTTTTAAAGGTTTTTCAAAATGTGTAGGTTATGTTCATTTATGCACCCAATTCTCTATTTTTATTATTTGACATTGAAATTAAGAGTTAATTTGATTATATTTTATTATCAAAGTGATTTTAAATTAAATTTTTAAATTATCATTTTAGACAGACAAATAAAAAACGTCTTTTTACTTTTGAAAAATATTATCCTTACAAAGACTCATACAAAGAAGGTTACAAAGTGATATCATTTAGAAGAAAAAAAACAAAGAAAAAACGGAAAAAGAGAAAGAGAGAAATCATGAAAATCAAGGATGAGGATTAACTTTATATGTGTCTTTGTAAAACTAACATTATTCTTTTACTTTTATTTTCTGTTGATCAATCATTTCAATATTTTAAGAAAAATACAAAATGATTATAGAAGATCGTACCCTTTTTAAGGGTTAATTTAGTAATTCAAAAATAGAAAGTCCATCACCATCTCTCTTTAAACACAGTACACAGACTGCCAGTCTGCATGGGTGCAAATACGTATCTTGAAAAATTTGGAGTGCACAAAAGAAAAAATTAATAGATGATGAGTACTGTACACGATGGTACTCGGCCACAAAAAGATATTGGCTCCGATTGGTTCAAAATTTGGGGGTTTTGAGAAAAGTTTTTTGAAAAAAGTTAAAAAAAAGTTGAATTGGACGGGTATTACGATGTAGGATTTATAAATTATTAAAATACCCCATATGTTTATTTTTTTACAAAATACCCCCTATAATAAAACATTAAAAGTTAACAAAAATACCCCTAACCCACCCTCAAACACCCCCAGTCGGCCACCACCACCAGAGGTGGCCGGAGTCGCCTTATGGGAGCATGACCGGCTGGATCTTGCCACTCATGCGCCGATATGGCCTTTTCCGGCCAGATCTGGCTGTATTTGCTCTCAACGACGGCCAACAAACGGTCGTCGTTGATGGTCAACGACGGCCGTTTGTTGGCCGTCGTGACCGACTGTTACGACCAAAGATCTGGCCGTCAACGGCCAGATCTTTGGCCTTAGATCTGGCCTTTTCCGGCCAAATCCACTGTGGATCTGGCCAGAAAAAGCTAGATCGGCGCACTACCGGCCAGATTCAGCCGGTAGTGCGCCATCCTACCAGATTCCAGCCATTTTTCGACGGTGGTGGCCGGAATCTGGTAAATGTGGATTGTTGGGGTGTTTTTGTAATTTTAAAAAAAATATTTAGGGGTATTTAATTAAATTAACAAATTTAGAGGGTTTAAAAAAATTGAATAATATTGAAAATAGTATTCCCAAAAATGAGGGCTTCGTTTGGTTCAAGATTGAGAATACTACTCTTAGTATTCCCAAAAAAGTTAAACAGTAAAATACCCAAAAACTCTCATTTTTGAGAATACTATTTTCAATATTATTCAATTTTTTTTAAACCCTTTAAATTTGTTAATTTAATTAAATACCCCTAAATATTTTTTTTAAAATTACAAAAACACCCCAACAATCCACATTTACCAGATTCCGGCCACCACCGCGAAAAATGGCCGGAATCTGGTAGGATGGCGCACTACCAGCTGAATCTGACCGATAGTAAGCCGATCTAGCCTTTTCCGGCCAGATCCACGATGGATCTGGCCGGAAAAGGCCAGATCTAAGGCCAAAGATCTGGCCGTTGGCGGCCAGATCTTTGGCCGTAATAGTCAGTCACGACGGCCAACAAACGGTCGTCGTTGACCATCAACGACGACCGTTTGTTGGCCGTCGTTGAGAGCAAATACGACCAGATCTGGCGATTGACGGCCAGATCTGGCCGTAGATCTGGCCTTTGTCGGCCAGATCCACCGTGAATCTGGCCGGAAAAGACCATATCGGCGCATGACCGGCAAGATCCAACCAGTCATGCGCCCATAAGGCGACTCCAGCCACCTCCGGTGGTGGTGGCCGACTGGGGGTGTTTGAGGATGGATTAAGGGTATTTTTGTTAACTTTTAATGTTTTATTATAGGAGGTATTTTGTAAAAAAACAAACATATAGAGTATTTTATTAATTTATAAATCCTACATCGTAATACCTGCCCAATTCAACTTTTTTTTAACTTTTTTCAAAAAACTTTTCCCAAAACCCCCAAATTTTGAACCAAACGGAGCCGAAAGTTTTTGGATATTTTACTGTTTAACTTTTTTGGGAATACTAAGAGTAGTATTCCCAATCTTGAACCAAACGAAGCCATATTACTTTTAGATACCTTCTTTCCAGTGAACAAACTCTAATATCTGCCCCTAAAAGGATGGAACTGTAAACACTGTAAATACACTCATTAGTAATTCAACACAAAAGATCAAGATTGACACTCCACCGGTTTACCATTCACAAGGAAAAGGAAAAGGAAAAAGTAAGAACGATATAACAAATAAGAAGATCGAAATACCCTTCAACTCTCCAAATCCTTTTTTTTTTTTTTTTTTATTTAACAAGAGTCATCTGTAAAAATGAAAATCTAGCAGAGACTGATACCAATAACATCTTGAGACAACCCTCTTTGCACACAAATCTTACTACCCATATTTTCATGTGACTTACATGACCAAAATTCTGATAGCATTTCCCATCATTAATCGTGTAGATGATGCAATCCTACCATTTTATAATGCCAAAATTTACATGTTAATTCCATGTAAATAAGCACGATTTTAGTCAAAAAATCATTACTAAAGGGTCCTCATTCGAATACAACACAACCAATAGCACTCGTGCCAAGTCTAGCCAGCAAGCGGATTAGCATGTATAGTTACACGATTAAGTCTTATCTCGGCAAGTGGTCGATCCCCTGGTCCTGTTTGTGTCTGCAGACCAAAAATCAGTCAATAAAGTTGGATTGAGGAATATTAATAAATCATAATAACATGGATTCAACAATGAACTTCAAGCAAGGGCATGTGTTTGACAATTGAGTGGACAAGGTTAACAATAATGAAAAAATCAGATGCCTCAGACTCAGAAACCATCAATGCTTATAAAATATCACTGTGTAGCTTAATAAGACAATTTTTTCCCCAAAAAAGAATTATAAAATAGTTTATATCCTTCAAGTACAACATACCTTTTCCATGAGATCAAGGACTTCGAAGCCATGGATCACTTTGCCAAACACAGTGTATAATCCATTAAGATGTGGTTGCTTTGCGAAAGTTATAAAGAATTGGCTTCCATTAGTATTAGGCCCACTATTGGCCATTCCCAATATCCCCCTTGCATTGTGCTGGAAAAAAGAAGTAAAATGAGTAAACTATGTGTAATATTAGCAACAATGTGGTATTCCAGATATAACGAATTTTATGCATCAGTACAGCAATTGATGAGGTACAATAAACATGCTCACAATTCACAGACATTAGAGACCTTTTACAGCCAAAAGAATCAATCATGATTATGCACATATGGTTAGACCTTGATAGACCTATTTGAGATGCTATCTACCAGAAGCAAAAGAACGGAGGAGAAAACAGAACAAAACATAAGGTCCAATCAATAAAGCACTGCATAGCTATTATAGTCATTTACAAATAGAGAATAACTACAAATAGAAAAACAGGAAGTGCAATGACAATAAAAAAACATAACATATTCAACAATGTTTATAGGTCCAAATTAGCCAAAGAGGTGAAACATTAGCAAAAAAAAATTGGGTCTAAAATGAAACAATATACCTTGAGGGACTCTCTTATCTCATCATTAAACTTCTTGCCCCATATGCTGGTCCCACCTTTGCCTGTTCCTGTTGGGTCTCCACCTTGAATCATAAAACCTTTGATGTTCCGGTGAAATATTGTTCCATCATAGTAACCGCTTGCACATAGTGCCAAAAAATTCTGTAACCAGATACACTCAGTAAGAATAATAATAAGCATATTATTAGCTAATTGCTAAAACAAGGACTCAGATAGCATTGCCATGCTCATTGTGGCACACTAAAGTAGCTCCATAACAGTAAACCCTAATAGACACTAATAATATTATCTGGCAAAGAAAAATTACAATGACAACAGATCAGAAATAGTTATTTATTACTGTATCGCTTAAGCATTCCAATTCCCAAATGATATTATAAAACACGGCTCTCAAAAATTTTCTCAATCAATCTTTCTAAACGAGTCTTTTTGGTAATAAAACCTAAGCTATGCGACTAGAAGAAGTTGCTACTACGTAAGTTAAAACCGTAATGAGAAACAATTACAAGTCATCTCGCAAAACTTAATTCCTTGTGTTATTGAAATTGAAACAAAGAGAAACTGACCTCTGCCGTTTTGGGGACCTCGTCACAAGCAATCTCGCACTTGATGTCACCAAGATTTGTGTGTAGGGTTACTGACTACAAGAGAAGAACACCAATTAGTTTGCGTGCAAGAACCAACTTAAGATATTTGATGAGATTGCGCAAAGAAAACTCACCATCTGCGCGACTCCACTGGATGCTCAAAATTTTGGTAGACTCCAGAATCAGGAGAGACAAGCGTGTTGATATACAATTTTTATTTATTAACGAAGGGGTTTCTACTTCTAGAGTCGGTTCATGGGAACGACAGCGTTCTGAATCTAAATTTTTATCTACCTGAAAAAGTTAACTGCTAAACGATGACGTTTTGCATCACCCTTTGAAATATATAAGGAACTCGGGCAATTCGAACTCGTATTCACCGCCTGCAGAACGGCATAGAACTCAAAAGAACAAAGGGAAAAAAAAAAAATCCTAACGGTGATATCCTAGATCTGTCAGGCTGACTGATACGTCTTTCGTGACAGAGCTATTTTTCAATTGTTTTTTTTTTTTTTTTCAACCTGTTTGGTTGCCGTGGAATCGCAAGGAAGGGGAGTGAACTGTCACATTTGGTTAAACATAGAATTACATTGGTTGTCCTGGGAGAAAGATAACGCTTATTCCCATCCATTAAAAGTATAGGCGAGGTTGAGACCTCTTTCAATTTGAAAAAAAAAACACAAATCATTTCAAAAATAGAAAAGAATATCGTGAAAAGATGACGTAGGATATGAATCACGAGGAGATTGTAATTTCTTCGATGGAGGGAAGTAATGGAGATTACGAGAGATTAGGGGAAAATTCGAGACAAGGAGAACCGGGAGAATCTGTGCCTAAATCATGGAAACGATTTGTGAAGTGGATAGCATTGTGCGTGTTGTTGATGATTTTGATTATAATTTTAATCATATGGGTTGTACCATTATTCACCAAAAAGGTACTCATATTAATCTCAGTTTGTGAATTATGGTTGATAATTTCCTCATTTTCAGTTTATTTTGCAGGTGATTGTTCCTATCATAACATGGGAAATGGCAACATTTAGCCCTCCAAGTTTGGCAACGGTGATCGTTGCATCATTGGCCATATTCCCGGTTGTTCTTTTGCCATCTACACCGTCTATGTGGATGGCTGGGATGACTTTTGGTTATGGGATTGGATTTCTTCTGGTTATAGCCGGAATTACAGTGGGCGTATCGTTACCTTATTTCATTGGGTCTCTCTTTCAGAGTAGAATTAATGTAGGTACAAGCTAAGTTGCTGTTTACAATTTTGAGTATCTATTTCATTTCCTCTCCTGGTAATTTATGTTTCTGAAACAGGAATATCTGAAGAAGTATCCAAAGGAAGCGTCTATATTAAGAGGGGCTGCGGAAGGAAATTGGATTCATCAATTTCGAGCTGTTACTTTGATCAGAGTTTCTCCGTTTCCATATCCTATATTTAATTATACTGTTGTTGCCACGGATATTGTTTATAGTGCTTATTTCTTGGGATCATTGGTGGGCGTAGTAGTACCTGATGTAATTATTGCTTTGTACAGGTTAGACTTTTCCTCTCAAAATTTCTATAGCACTTGTGAATTAAAGTTTCAGTATAGCTATACTTTATATGCTCTTTTATATGGACATTCTAAACTCAATATTGCCTTATTTTTCTTAATTGGTGAGAGTCTGTTGTTTATAGGGAAGTAATATCATGAAATAAAGCAATTTACAGGGCTCAAACATGATGCACCTGATTTTTATATAGCTTGGTCATATTTGTTTTGCAGTGGGATTTTGATAGGCTCCATTGCAGACGCAACACAAGATCCAGAATCCCATTCAATATGGCATATAATCTTCAAAGTTGTTGGATTCTCTCTGGCTGTGGCTGCCACTTTTGTTATTGGCCTTTACACTAAAAGGCGACTTGATCAACTAAAGGAAGGGGCCTGATGATGGAGTAGTTTTGTTATTGTATTGGAATTGGATCAACTTCAGTAAGGGGCGCTTATGATGGGGGAGTTTGTTATTGTATCGGAATTGGATCACCTGCAATCGGACGCTAAAGTGAGAACTTCATAGTTTAACCACACATCTGACTCATGGTTGTAGAGGGACTCTGTACAATCTTCAAAAGGGAGCTAAAGGGAGCCATATCATTTTTGTATAGGGACTGTGTACGTTCCAAAATTACTATTTTGCTTTGTGTGCAGCGGAGGGAAATAGAAATAGAAAAGGAAATGGGCATGGCGCTAATCTTTCAATGACTACAAGTGATGTAATCGATAGAGGAAAAAAGAAACCTTTTGACACTTTGTTTTCATGGTTAAATGAAATGCTAATGGAATTTCAGTTGGATTTTACTACAAGTCACTTTCCATAAAAATTCTTCAACCGATTTGATTGTCCAATGAGATTGAAACACATTATTTTTACTCAGTGACATTCTTCACTGGGCAAGGGGGAATCCTATATACTCTTGAAACTCAATCCATTGCCCGTTGTGATTTGTTAATGAGCTGATGCCTGCTGACCTTGAGATTAGTACAAATCCAACTTCGCCATATTCTCGAAATCGCAACAATTTTTCGGAAGTCCAATTTATGATTTCCACAAGAATTAACCGGAATTTCAAAACCTATTTCAAAACCTTACTAGACGAATAACAAGTTTAGTTCCCTGGCAAACTCAAGCATCATCCTTATATGTAAAGATTATGTGGCAAGAATATCATGCCAAGGCAAGCAAATGCTCTAAAATGTCATATAAATGAGCGACGCAATGATACGTGAGTGAAAAATAATATTAAAATTACAAAATAAATTCTGAAATTGTTTTCATTATCCATCCTCAAGGATCTCTCTGTGTACATGCATGCACGATGAGCTGCAGTATTTGTAATTATACCTGTGAAAAGGAACTTTACCGGCTAATGATGCACCACAACATGAGCAGTTAAAGTCAGTTGCTAACCCTGTTTTGGTTTGTGAAGGGCTTGCTCCAGTGGTGGTTGGACTATTGCCTTGAGTACTGAGGGCAGCAGCTGCTGCCATTCTCCTCTCAGCAGCAGCCGCTCTTTTTTCTCTCTCAGCAGCCTGTCGTCTCTTCAGTTCCTCCTGGATTTTATAAATAAATGTAAAATACATAAAATAGTGACCAAGTGTAATAGAAAGAGAGAACATGAGAGAAAAAACCAGCAACATTTAAAATAATACAACAAAATAAAAAATTAAGCCAACAAACTATGTGAAATTGTAGCCATCACAGCACCGCGGGAAAAAAATTAATCTAACCTCTTCAGAGATGCGTGATCCACCAGATTGTCCTTTTATAACTGCAGATGGTGTTGAGCGGTTATCTACAACTGCTGGAGCATTTTGCGACAGGGCAGCCTCAGCCTATGTATTCCCGTACAAAGTTGAAATCAGAACAGTGGTAAAGGAAACAAAAAGCAAGATATGCACAATGGACAATATAAAACTTAATTAATTAATTAGAAATTCATTGCATAGAAAAAAAGCACATATGTTGAGGGACATTACAAAATATCAGAACTAGGATTGTAGAATGTTTACCTGGGCCTTCTTTTCTCTTGCTCTACGTAATTTCTTTAATTCTTTAGCTCTTGCTTTGCGCTTGGCATCTTTCTCTGCCTAAACAACCACACAAAATGGTAAACCATCAGAGATTCTTCTCAAATGCAAACTCAGATTAGTCAACAATATGCCTTATATTTCCTTGCTTCACATAATAATCTCAATTATTCATTTTAGAATAACTGATGAAAGATCAACCAAATCAAACTATCAGCCACTCACACATATAGATGCATCGAGAACACAGGCAGGTGAGAAAAACTTTTGATAATGAGGAAGAAATAAAAAATTACCTGTTTAGCAGCTTGAGATTCCTCCATTTCTTTTGTCAATGCACTAGGTACTTTAGCAGCATGCCAATCCCATTTATTAAGGTTTGAGGACATGAACCGTCTAAAAGCATTCCTAACTTCCTTATCACCAGCCAGCATATATGGAGTGCGTCCCCTTTCATCTTTGATGCAAGGATCCAAACCCTGTTCTAGGAGCTCCAAAACCTTCTGAATGTTGCCAGCCTGTGCTGCTTCATGTAAAGCTGTTGATGTGCCAATAACTTCATTTTCACTCTCACTTGACATACACTGTTCATCAATTTTTTTGCAGCTCAAAGCTTCAGAAGTTTTCTTAAAATCTAAGTTGTCCCCCAAGTCCTCTTTGCTGGAGATTGGGACACTATTGCTAATGGAGTCGGCACTTAAATTTAATTCCTCATTAGTGCATGGTGAAATATCCTTTTCATCCACTTCATAGGCAACTTGTGTCAATTGCTTATATATACGCTGTGTTTCCTTGAAAGTAGGCCTCCGAACAGTCAATGGAACATTTTGAATAGCACACCTCTGATGACTAAAATATGGTTTATCTCCATTAAAAAGTAGTTGACGATTTGTTGAAGGAGCATAAACGAACACACAAATGGATGCATCAAAATAACGCTTCCAAGATGTAAGAAGTTCTTGAATGTCCTAGAATATTAATAAGAATATATTCAGTAACTTTTAAGAATCAATTTTAACAGGACATATGGGTCCATCTTTTTTCTTTTTTTGGCACAAGAGAAAATACATCGCACAAGTCTTACACTATATTTTTCCTTAAAGCAAATCAATTAAAGTGTATCATAATTTGAGTCATTGAAGGTGTAAAATCAGTGGTTTCATAAGCAAAACTTAAAACCAGAGTTATATGACTATTACATAGAATTTGATACCTTCTTTAAAGCAAGTTCGTTATGTCGTCGAAGAGAAGCTCCAGCTGAATGTGCAGCCCTTCCAGTTGCATCCTTTGATGACTGTTTCTTACCAGCCTTGGCCCTCACAACGTATCTAAATGGCAATAAAAATCATTCAAGCATACTGAAAACAGCACCAAAAAAAAACACACCTCATATCTCATAAAATTTAAAGCAGAAAAAATGAGATAAAATGATTAAATCAATGTTCTAGGGTGTCATTTCCTTGCAGAAATAGAATGCTCAAGCTGTAGACTTATATGTACCAACCTGTGGAATGTTTTGTGAGTCACAACCAAGTTACCATCAAAAATGCTGCCAGCAAAATGACCACCTCTTGCAAGTAACACAACCCTAAACTGAGTATTATCTCTAGGCTCATGACTCAAAATCTTCAATCTCTCAATCACTTCACTCTCTCCCAAGAACCCATTGTTATTGACAGAAATTGCTTTATCATTCTCATATGAAACACTTTCAGACTCATTCAATAGCAAACATTTCCAAATGGAAACTCGCTCTCCGCTCTTAAGATAGATAAACAACTTCTTCCAAACACTTTCAACCAATTCCCCATGTCCATCATTGTTGCGGTGGGGTACCTTATCAGTTTCATCTTCAGATCCTGATATACTAGAAACATCATAGTCTTTAAGAGAATCAGATGTCAATTCGTCAAAATCTTCCTCTTTCACAATATCCTTACCAGCAAGGGTTAGCTTTACCTATAATTGGCATAAAATCAATTAAGGTGCAGAACATATTGCAGCAGACAACAAAGATAACCATTTATTTTCTTTATGAATATTTTAGTAAAATTATATATATATAACAGAAAGATACAGAGATATCCATGTGGCACATGAAATAATTGGAGTTTATAATAATGCAAAAGAATTAGTATCACAAATTTTCTAACTTTTTTCCCATTGAAACTTCTAATTAATTAGAAAAACAAAGACTGAAATAAATAAGAAAATATTTTTTTTGTACATAACAAAGATTTTTTACTTATGTGTCCACTAATCATCTCTAAAGGTGAGAGAAAAATAATTCAGTTCTTAAATGTACAATTCTATGACTCAACTAATCCAATCAATTCCATCATGACATAGAATAATTCCTGGCAAATAGGGAATGCATAGATGGAGTTGCACAAAATTGTTTCACAAATACACTTTGTAGTAAATCCATCATCTCCAATGAAAAAAAATTTAAAAGCCAGAGATAGGCCACATTAATTCATATAATCAAACCAAATCTCTACGTCAATGTCGTATGAGTTCATAATAAGCTAGCTTGAAATTTGAAATAAAAAACAGAGATAAAAACAAGAAAATGTTCTTACATTGAAACGATGAACATCGGATTTGAAGTGCTGACGCTGGTCCTGAAGAGACTCGAACTCCGTCTTACAAGTATTACATGTCCATCTGTTTAAACCGACACCTTGTTTGGAGTTTTTGTCTTCTTCAACATAACCATCGGTGTCGTCAAGGGTTTTGTAAGAGGAATCCTCGAAGCTGGTTTCGTACTCTGATGATAAAGTTGTAGAGGGAGATAGTAAACGACAAGATTCGAAGAAGTCCGGTGAGAGGTCGAAAATTGAACGGTGTCGTTTGTCTTGTGGAGTGGTAGTTGTCGTTGAGGTGGCGTTGATGAGGGATTCGGTCGACATGCTTGTCAACTATATTTCCTGTTCCGCTTTGGTGATAATTTTGATTATAAACATCACCCGACGGAATTCAGTAAACGACGTCGCTGCGTGTGAGACCTATGAAAACGGTTGCCTAATTCTGCTTGTAAAACATAGGGTGACGTCGTTTTATCCACTTAATTTTTAGTTTTTACTTTAGCCTCTTTCGTGTTATATGATACACATGTATTAAACTATCATTTCCAACCAAAAGAATTTCCAATTATTATCACTATGTTAAACCCTTAAGCCCTGTCGGCCCAATATTGCTGTTGGGCCAGAATTATTGGGTTTGCTTGTGCCCCAACTTCAGACATTTATGAAGTTCAGTTATGCGGAGAAGGCATGCGCCATTTATAATTTAGGACTGTAAATGAGCTGAGCTGGCTCGCGACTCGGTAAAAGTTCGTTTAGAGCTTGGCTCGATAAGGCTCAAGTCGACTCCACTCGAACTCGGTTTATTAACCGAGTCGAGTTCGAACACAGTGAAGCTCGACTCGTGGTCTCGTGAGCTTGGTCCGGCTCGCGTAAGCACTGTACACTTACATAGGGTGCTTTGGTGATTTTTTTTTAAACTATTAGGTATTAAACTAATATTTTTCAGTGAAAAAAGTTTAAAAAAATTACAGTTTCCCCCCCCCCAAAGTGCAAATTCTTATAACACGATACACCAAAATGTCAAGTCAATTTCAGTTCCCAATCCCAGTTGCCCTAAATCCAAAATCGCAAACAAAGACCCCCAAATCCCAAATCGTGAACCAAACACTCTGAAATAGGTAATCTCCGTTGCCATCTCCGATCTTGGCAACTGGAAAAGGAGGCCCTGTGATGGCAGCTTTGACTCTATTGTGACATTTTCATACCTGTTGCCGGTGATTCTGTTCATCTTCTAGCCCGTTGCACAGAATCTGAAGTTTCTCTATATACACACATTGAAAGTTTTGATTTTCCTCATTTTACCATTTGAGATGTGAACTTTGTCGATCCTCCTAGGTACTTTAGCATCCAAATATGAAAAGCTTGGAGGTGAAGTGAGATGGATGGTTAAGCCTGATAAGGTCACTTGATCTCTTAGTTCTTGTTGTTCTTATTAGTAAAATTGTCTAGTTCTTTATATTTGTGGATGTATATCATCCTATGCGTGCAGTTGACTTTCCTTTTACGCTTTACTAATATTTCATCAGATAATATATAAATTAGCAATGAACATGGTTGGTGTGGATGCTTCTGATTCTGTTGTCGTGGGTGTTCTCTTCACCATGATATTAAGGGAGCCAATGCAGCTAGAATCCAGTCAGTATTTACCACTGGAGGGATCCGTGCAAATGAACTCGGACTCAACGGTTTTGGAGAAGTTGCAGATTTATCTTCTGTCCAAACTCTTGCATCAAAATATGATGCATATCCATCATACGTGTTACTAGCATTCATATGGTAAAATCTTATCATGGTAAGCACTCGAAAACTCAAGATTTCATCATCATTTAAATTCTTATTTTCATGTTTAACTTTACTTCTTCGACTTTGAGATGATGGTTAAAATCATTGCTAAATCTCAGTGGTAATTGATTTTTAGGAACGCATGAGTGAATTCTTGTTCCCAACTGTGGCAATTTTTCTAGAAATGGTGATTTGATCGAGCTTTATCGAGCTCGAGCTCGCCAGCCGGCTCGAGCTTGACCGAGCTCGAGTTCGAGTCTCAATTTTGAGGCTCGTCAGGCTCGAGCTCGACACTGTTGCAAATGAGCCGGGCTCGATAAGCCAAAAGCTCGGCTCGTTTACAGCCCTAATTTATATATATAGTCATCATGAATAATTATTTCATAAGGATAAAATCCAATGTAATAGTTTTGAACTTGCCGTCAAAGATTCGAAATTCACTCCTAGCCCAGCAAAAATGATATGCTTACTATTGGTTTTTACTAACCAGTATACAACATGATCTAGCATCCGATGTGATGATGTCAACTCACTTGTCACGTTAGATAGTTCCAACAAAAAAAAAAAAAGAAATTCAATCACCTGAAATTTTGGCTTCCAAAACTTTGCTTCCCTAATCCTCTTCTCCCCTAAATCACCAGTCACCACTCATCTAGAGTTCACGCGATTCAAGCCAATTACAGTCCTCTCTAACACCGAAAATCAACCCCAGCACCACCTTTCACTTCACCGACCTCCTCTAAGAAAAACCCCTGCCATCCCCACCGAAGATTACCCACCAATCGCTGGTCGCTAGGGGTGTTCAAACCGGTTTGAAGGGAAAACTGGTTTTTCTTTTTTTTTTATATATAACTTTTTTTTTTTTTAATTTTTTCTTAAATTAAATTGTAAATATAAACAATCATATCCAAATAAAAATTAAACATCATACATATCCATTGATCACATCTACAATCATTAAAAATTGATATAATAAAATCCGAATGAAATTATTTTTTTATTTTAATATATAAATAATATATATATATATATAGTATATAATAATATATATATATATTGTTTTGTAAAACCGGTTTCAGTTAACCGTTTTTTATTTTTTCCCGAACCGAAAACTTGGTTTTTTGAATTTTTCGAACCGTAACTGCACCGGTTTTTCGGTTCGGTTTTTGCATTTTTTTAACACCCTTATCGATCACTGCTCATCTAGGGTTCGCGAGATTCAAACCAAATTCTGGTCAATTACAGCATCGAAAATCTACCCCGACGGTATCTTTCACTTCACTGGCCTCCCCTGACTAAAACCCCTATCATCCCCATTGAAGATCACCCACCAATCGCCGACCATCACTCATCTAGATCCCCTTAAGCACTTTCATCCTTTGTACTATGGTCTTTGGATAGCATTCTTTTCGGCCTGGATGCCCATCATGCTGGTGCAAAGGGTTCTAAGAAGGTCGTGCAACAAGCTTCATCAAAATCCCAGGTAAAACTTTCTGCCATGGATGCTTTCGCTTATATCTATCTTTGTCTTTTTATGCAGGATTTTGGTGGATGGTTATGTATAACTGCAGTACCAATGATTGCCTATATTTATTATCGTTTTGTTGCCTAATAGCTCATTTCTCTTATCTATATCTTTAATCATGTATTCTCTCCTAAGATTAGGTGAGAAAAATTTTAAAGATAGTCCTTTTTGTTAAAAAAAACAGTATGTGGTTTTATTTTTTGAATTTTTCTTAATGCAATCTACTCATGTTTGTGACTTTTGTTGGAGTGCTACTTTCATAATCACATCAATTATTGGATTCCACCTTGGATCAATTTAAAGATTAACTTTAAAGGGTTTTTTTAATTTTTCTTAATGCAATCTACTCTGTTATGCCTTCTCCTTTAGATGAAGGTTAGAGGATGCGGCTGATCAATTATGATTAACTTTCACAAACGTGAGCTGATTGGAACATCATTGGTTATTCTCAATCTACCTGTCATACACCACAATGCTTTTTGGATGCAAGAAGTTTTATCTTCTTCCATTGAGGCCTAAGCTAGGTGTCGCCAATTCTGCACAATTCTCTAATAAGATGATAATCACTTATAATGAGAGATGAATAACTGGCTGCTAGGATCGACAATTTTTGGCTTTGATATTATTTGCTCCAAGCGATGTTTATGGCTTTTAAAATTAGCTGGACTGTTTGATAGATTTATAATTTTATCTTTTTATTATCCTTGCATTTAGTTTATTTGGAGTGTTTAATATCTTATGGTGCCTATTTGTGATGATTTTTATGTATAAGACATTTGTGGTTAAGAGTTAGTAAAACATACTTAAAATTAGAAGTTTCTAGCATTTTTACTTTTGGATGTTTTGGGCTGTTTGCAGATTTTTGATGGACTTGGAGTTATAGTTTCATTTTTGGACCATCTATGAAGTTAAAGTAGACATCTGAAGCTTTCCAAGTTGGGATGGCACGTCCAAAGATGACTTCTTTTGGGCCTCCAATTGTTGGTGTAAAGTCAGAGCTGAAAACTGAAATCGAATCCTAATTGGAGTAGGATATTTGTCCGACCACTGGAGTTTTCGAAACTCAAATGAGATGATTCAAAAGCCCAAATTCAAGTACACATCCTGAACTACAATTCTTATGAAGGGGCTGAAGTTTAGAAAGCTCGTTGTCCTATACAAAACTGGCCTGGAAGTTACGGCTTCAGCACAAAAGCTTTAATCCTTAGCTGATTTTGATTATTTTTGTATGATTTGTATAAAGACTTGGTCCAACTTCAAGAGAGAGTTCAATACAAGTCTGGAGGGCTGGAAATTCGTGTGTATGAGCTGGAATTTCACTTGCACAAATTAAGGGCAGGTTTGAAGAGAGAGAAAGAAGTGTTTTTCTAAAAGAATTTAGTTATTTGCCTTAATTTTAAGAGTTGGCTTTTAAAGGGAAGCTTTTATATGTTTCTTAGACATATACAAATAGAATTTTTAGGCTGCTAGGGTTTTGGGGGTTGGAGACAGAATCATTGTTTTAAAAACCGAACCATTCTTTGATCCGATCAAGAGGTCAGTTTCTAGGTTGATCGGTTCAATCAGTTAGACCGATCGTTCTGACCAGTATTCAACATATAGATCTCTAAATAATTTTTTCAGTCTTTATAAGTTTAAAAACCCACAAATTTACTCTTAAAATTTACACGAGTCCCTGTATATTTGAAATACCTTGTAACTTTTATTATTAATTATTTTTCCTCTCTCCCCATCATTTTCATCTTTCTTTTATTTCCTCTCTCCCCATCACTTTCATCTTTCTCATGTTTGTCTCTTTCTCCCCGTCACTTTCTTCTTTCTTCTATCCATTTGCCCTTTTTCCAGTAACTTTTTTCTTCCTTCCTCTTTCTCTTTGTCTCCTCTTTTCTTTCCTCTAATCTTCTTCCTTCCTCTATTCTTCTTCGTCTCCTCTTCTCTTTCTTCTTCCTTCCCCTCCCCTTACTTCTTCTTCTTTACATGATAGATTTTAGAGTAAGTGAAGAAGAATAAAAGATGAAAATAGTATTGAAATGAAATGAAATGAAGAATACTTGCTGGCTCAATGAAATAGAGAATAAAACAATACTGCAAATCTGGTTTAGGAATTAG